CTAGTATATTATATATATATATATATATATATATATATATACGATTGATTGAAAGAAGCACAAAGGTCTTCCCCTGCCCCTTCTAAAAATTCTGAAAACTCGTCCCATTCATTTTATGAAAAAGGTTTAGTAATGACTGACTCATTGCATAAGGGGGGGCATATCTTAAACACAAACTACCATTTTGAATGAAAACAGACTAGAATAAAAATACGGCGTTGCATTTACTGATGAAGGGACTGCCCCAGTAATTTGTCACACAACTCTTTCTCCAACGCACTCATATTAATAATTTCAACAAATAAAGTACCTTCTGTTTCCTTTCGGAAAGTTGTGCGCAATTCAGCCATTCTGACGCTCTATTTTTTCTTTTTCACCGGATCCGGGGCTCCGGGCTCCGCGCCAGCCTGCTGGATGAGCTCGTCGATAGACTTCTCCAGCACTCCAACCCTCTCATCCATCTCATCGATGCGGCCAGCAATCTGCTTTGACATATTCTCAAAGCTCGATTGCATCCGCTGCAGCAATTCCTGCATGTACGCGCCTAACTCTGCAGAGCCACTTTGAGGGATTCCCGCGCTGGCCGACGCACTCCCGCCCGCTGAAGGGAGGGCTGTTTTGCCGGTTTTATTATAACCCGACTCATTGGAGGAGCTTTCCGCGGGTCCTTTGTTTTTTGGAGGCATTTTCGAATTTCAAAATGATTGCGGCGAAAATCCACCTGGGCTCTTGAAGAAAAAGTTAAGGTGTGTTCCCCAAGAAGGTAAGTTTATTCAAATTAATACCCTCAGCAATATCTTGAAATCGATATCTTTAAAAATAATCTTATCAAATAATGCGCGGAAAAACAATTTTCTAAAGAAAAGAAAGGGTGAAATCAAAAAGTAGCATGCCAGATAATTTTTCGACACAGCTATCTTAAGACTTTGTTTCCAACGCATCGATCCTGAAGAGTTGTAAAGCAAAGAAAATGAATATACAAAACTATTACACAGCTAAAAAAAGGTTCCGCCAAAAATGAAAACAAGCAGTGAGTAAGCATACAATGCAGCGCAAAAATAGAGCCGTAAAACTTCGACAATAAACTATTATCAGACGTACTTGTCTAAAAACGAGATAGGAAAGTTAGTCTATTAAAGAAATACAGACTGAATGAACTTATTTTTGCCCTTTTAAAATTCTTATCTGATGTTCCTTTCTTTCGCCACAAAATGAAAATTTGTCTTTTTTCTCTGGGGAACCTTTATATTTACCTTGAAGACTTTTTTGTTGCTATATAATGAAAAGCTCAATATTGATAGCAGCGCATTTAGTGTGTATCATCGGAAGATAGACACATAGGAAAAAAGGAGACTCTCAATGACAACCTTTTTTTTATTTGTGTAATAGTGAAGCATCCTAACCCCGTAAAAGGGGCTCCTCATCACGCTAGAAAATCATAGTAAACAGTAGATGGGACTACGGAAAAAGCCTTATTTGTTTCTGTAAGAGAGCGTCTAAGAAATAAACTCTAAAATTATAGCACTTAGCTTTATTACTAGCTGAGATGAATATAGCGTAAACTCATACACGCAAAACACTTAAAGACAATCTTCGTTCATTTCGAATAAAATCTAGAGCAGCCTTCATCCCAACAAACAAGCAACAAACAAGACAAATATGATCTTCAAACAATTAATATAATAAGCCAAAAGGTAAAAACGAAACATCCCTAAACAAAATATGGCGCTCCTTCTCCACCATTACCACGGCGTTCACCCACGTAATCCTGGGTGTGCTGGGTTATTCTAGTTTCCTTTATATTTTCTTCCGCATCACTGCCTATTTTTATGCATTAATAATCCCATCGCCTCATCTTCCTGAACGATCCGGATACGCGACGAAACCTTCATTGTCACCGCGAAACGGAGGCGACGCGCTCTACCGATTGAGATCATCTTCGTAAAATTCTTCAATGTATACTCAACAAATCCCTTGTCCATATCCACAAGAATCGAAATAAAATCCCCGTTCTCGATCTTCTCTAGATTCTCCTCCTTACGATGGTAGGGAAAGTTGGAGTAAAAGACGCCGGACATGTAGTACACGCAGCTGTTCGACGTCTTGTGAAACTCTTGATCCTTGCTCACACAGGAGTCCGAGATGAGGCCGACGCCGACGTAATCCGCGGTGATCACCTCATACGTGATGCGATGACGGCCCGTTACCAACACCGCATCGCCGACCACCGCGACACCGTACATCACGCGCAGCCGATTTCGCTCCGGGTTGACGCCTGGGCCGGGTTGAAACTGCCCTTCCGTCGCGAGCTCCCCGTCTTTGAGAAGCCTTAAAAGCCCGGGGAGGCCGTAGTAGCGGGCGTCCGTCTTCAACCGCCGCAGCTGATCCTCCTCGAGCATCTGGAAGTGCGTGTAGCCGCGGAGGTAATTTAGGACGTGGCGAAAGGTCTCAGGGTCGCGGTCGATAAAAAGGGCACCGGTTGAATCCGTGAAGACACGAACCGCGGCGACCTCATCGTCGTCGTCGCCCTCGCGGGGGTTAAGGAGGGCGTGGAAGAAGGAGCAAGGGGGTTGCGCACTTGCGTTCTCGTCCTTGGAGGACTCCGAGGCGGCAGCGCCCTCGTCGGCGCCGAAGGCATCAACATTCGTTGCCGTCGCCCCACAGCTTCGGGATCGGGTTCGACACTCACCAAGAAGTGTCTGCACAGGTACGGTGAAGAGCTCACCCCCTACATTCAGCCGGACCACAGGAAGCTTTCGGTAGCCGTTGTGGTCGACTTCCTCGAGTAACGCGTTGAGTTTATCATCAGAGGAGCACTTTTCGTTGATCAAATCGCTGAGTTGTTTCTCTAGAATGATATACTCTGTCATTTGGCTTTGCATGGTATGGATCATTTTGGCGGCAGACTTACCAACGCTGGTGAACTGCTGCCGCAAGAGCTCCAACGGCATGGAGCTGACCATCCCGAACCCTGGGTCCTCATGTGGTTGGGGCGGACTACTATTTGCCGAAGATGATGAGGAATCGTGCGTATTCTGGTTATGAATATCACTGGAGGTGGGGTTATTGCCCTCGTGATCCTCAACGAATTCAGCGGGTCCAGATACCTCCGTTGCCCTTGATCGTCTTCTACTTGCTCGTCCTCCTGCCGTGTTAGTCTGAGAGTGTTCATTTTCACCCGATGAGGCCAAGGACTGCAGGGGAGCCGGCGATAACGGACGCTTGCGCTTTGGTTGTCGAGAAAATGAAAAGAACGGTTCTGTGGAAGAGACGGTCGCAGCCACAGGCTGCGATGTGCTACCGGATAACTGGTTGTTAATCGTGTCGCCAACGATATCGCCTGCATTCGGGTCGCCACCCGTTATCGCACCTTGGGGGTGGGAACGGGGGAGCTGTTGAGGATCGGGCATAGAACGGGGACGCCGGTAATGATGGAGATGATTGCCTTGCCGGGCAGCTAGAGGGGGTTGACACCTCTGGCGCGGCATCCCAAGCAGAATTTTTGCCTCCTTTACCAAACAAAGTGATTCTAATAAGCAACTCAAAAACTCACGAAAAAAGGAGGAGATAACGTGATAAACATTAGTAAATCAACGAACGAATATCATACCACTCCAATAACCAATTAAGCTACTTGAAACAGAAGTCTGCAGAGGACAACAACAATACAAACCTTCGAAGAAGGTAATAGGGGCAGAAATATGGTAAGTAAACAATTAAATCCCCAAAGCAAATACAACAAAGAACGGAAGAAAACGAATTTAACATCCTTTAACATTTGTGTCAAATTCTTTTGTTTCCTGAGTGAACAACATAAACTTTCAAACAATGTGTAATCTCACGCTCACAGCTGTCTGATAACGTGATGGAAATGTCGTGTCCCCCTGCTTTGAAGACGAAAAGCTCGAAGCAGCAATCGTAAATGTGTCGGCCATGCTCGCCCACAAGGGTGGTAGAGTCGACCGGGCCTGACAGAATGCCAACATCGGGGTGATAATCCATGGAAATTTGAACGCGTAGTGGAATGGCGCGCTTCCAGGGGGCGTTGACGCGCAAATGCACCCGCACCGGCGTCATGGCAGGAAGCACTATTGGGAGATTCCGCGAATCGCTCAACTCGGCTGTGGATCCCAGGCCTTCCATGGTTCGTATTTTAGAGTTAGGATTAGACACTTCTCTGTTAAAGTCGAATAAAGGCATCGCCCCGTTGCTTTCAGCGTTTACGCGCGACTCACTCATGACCGTTTCCTGAGTATCCACACCATCCTCAGCTCCTTCCTCCTCTATCCCTAGAATATTCCTTCCCACAGGGCTCATCTTATGAACACTATGAGATTTCATTCCAGGGGAACTACCCGTTTGGCTTTCCCAGCGTCGCCCGGATGGGTATAGGGAGTGAGGCCCCGACGGCACCACAATATCCGCACTGACGAGACACTCATCTAGCGGCTCTGTACACACCACTTCCTGCGATACCAAGCTCAGGTCCAATGCCAGCTTACCCGTGCAATTTGGAAGCTCGCAGACCGCCCAGGGGACGTAATAGATGTACTTTGCGGAGTCCCCTTCAGCAGCCCCCTCGCTTAGACCCCCAGATGCGTGGTGGGTGACATCATTGATGTTGACTGGCGCCGTCACGTGCTCGCTGCCAGGCACGATGAAGGCGTCTGGTAGTTCGGAGAAGGGCAACGCGCTCAGCCGCAATTCCACGCTATACCGCGGGCTTCGGTTCGTGATGCGGATGACCACAAAGCGCTTGTCTCTGCTCAGGTGGACCTCGCTTACGACGAGGCTGGGGGCGTAGAAGAGCCGCATCCGCGTCTCGATCACACGGCGCGGGATGACGCCCATGACGGGGACCGCAGCCGGGATCCCAGGCGGCATCTCCGGCTTTTCGTGCGGTAGCGCGCAGTCCACGTGGAAGACGAGAAAATGGGCCTCCGGCGACACGATCTCCGCAGGGGCTTGGAGGTGAACCGGGATATGCACGACCTCCCCTGGGCGGAGGGGATGGCGATCCGCGGTCTGCAGCCTCGTTCGGTCGAGGCTCACGGAGACGTCCTTTTTGTTCATCCCTTCCTTGCACCCTTCGCAGTCCTCCAGCAGACACGACTCCCCGTGGGCGGTGATGGAAAGGGATGGGATTGCGACCTGACCGCAGTTCACCACGCGAACTGAGAAGTTAGCGCATTGCCCGCTAAAGATCTCAAGCTCGCTCATGCTGACGGAGCAGGAGACGAGGGGCAGCCGCTCCAGAACCGGGATCGCCACCTTCGGCTCGGGTAGGCTGCTGATGAGGGGCTGCAGCGCGCCCAGACCGCGCACGCCCATCTCCACCCCTTCGATACGAACGAAGCCTTCGATCGCGGGCTGCACCCGCAGAGGCACCGTCGTCTTCGCGCGCGGTGGCATCCAAATATCCCGTACCGTGTAACACACAGGCGCGAGAGGGCCGGTGCCATCCAACGCGGACCCTGGTGGCGGGTGATTTGCGTCGTCGAGCTCGCGGAAAGACTGACAGCGAAGTACGATGGACGTAATCCACAGCTTCCATTGAAATGGGTTGTACAGCGTCATCATAACGGTACCGACATCCCCGACGGCCCACACCACGCGGCTATTGAGCCGTTTCCGATTCAAGCACAAAATCGTCAGTTTAAGACGTTGAGTGTCGATAAAGGTGAACATCGGGCCGCCTATGGGGACGGTTTTCGGGGCAAGGTGTGGGGACAAAGGCAACACCTCCCAGCTAGAGAGAAAGGGCGAGGTTAGAGTGGAGGGCATGATGTGTGGGTCAACGCGAGGAGCCTCTTGTTGCAGGATATTAAAAAGACGCTGCTGAGCGTTCAGATCGAGGTAATTCGGATAGCGAAACAAGAGAAGCGTAGCGACACGGCAGCACATCCCACTATACTCGCCCGCCTCTAGCAAGAGACTGATAAGTTCCATAAGGATAGGAACGTGATGGGAAAGTGCTTTCCCACCCATCTTGGACTCTCCCTTGTTGTTTACCCTTCCGCACGGAGCCACGGGACTGAAACCCCGTGAGGTCATATCACTAAGAATTTCCCCAGGACTAGCAGCTAACGATTTGCGAGAAGTGTAACTGTTAATGAAGTTGGTGCCATTATCACTATTTTCTCCCGGTGAGTTGCAGGAGCGGAGGACATCATAGAGCGCGTCGTTAGAAAGCTCACCCTCAAGCTCTGGGATGCATAAGTCTACACCACTGAGTGCGCATGCCCGCACCAGGGAACAAATCGCAGATGGGTAACATTTCTCCTTGCTATCAATAGTGGCGAGCTCAATAAGCAGTGAGACAACTTTTCGCTTCCACCCAGCGTGTAAGGCTAAAAAGACAAATAGGTGAATCACTCTTTGCTTTAGACCCTTATTTGATCTTTCAAGAATGGTTCGCACACTTCCAAGCACTTCCATAAACCCCTCGGCATGACCCCGAAACGCCAAGAAGCTGGCTAGCTTTAGACGTGTTTCTAGCTCACGGTCACGAAGTAAGAGCCGGCCATGATCCCTTGCTGCATGGCGCTGCTGGCGGATGGATTCTGTGAGATACACCTCAATTTCGTTGAGACCTCGGGTAAGAATTTCGCTGGTGATGGTTCTGAACTCATTCCCAAGAGCACAGGGCTGCATGTCATCTACCGACTCCGCTTTTTGCGCCGCCATGAGCTCCTGTGAGCGACCAAGAAGGGTGCTTAGCTGAGCCAGATTCGAGTTAATCGATTTGACGACATCCCGCTCCAATCGTTGCTTCATCGAGCTGCTCAAGCAATGATGCTTAAAAGAAGCGATAGTATTGGTAATTTCCTTACCAATGGTGCTCAGGAACGTGTGCAGCTGATCTAACCTAGTGAGCAGGGATTGGTCCCACTGTGTGGCCCCACTTTGCATGGCGAGGATAGTAGAATTATTGTCTGGAAACAAGGCGAGTATAGACTTCCATTGTTGATAGCGCGCGGCCGCAATGGATTCGAGTGTTGCAGAGCACCATAATGGATTTGTATCCCCGCCAAAGGCCGTTTGTCCATAGGTCTGAATGGCTTGATCGAATGCACCGAGCTGACATAAAATGTCCCCTTTTCTCTTCAGCACCACGCTATCTGCAGGTACGTTATTGATCGACAATTTCAGAGGTGAGGTTGGAGAATATGGAAGTGCGCTGGAACGAGACCGATTTGATTCGGAGGTTACCCCCTTTGGAAAATTTTTAGCGCAAAGGTCTTGCAACATGGAGCAAATCACGGCATACGCGAGTTTACCCATAACTATTTGAGCGGTTTCGCGAATTGAGGAGGTTGTAAACACTGCTGTAAAAGACAATGATGGTGAGGAGAGGGACGGCAAAAGCTTATTTTCTACCTCAGCCGTTGGGTCCACGACGATACATTGGCAGACTTTATCAGCGTAGCGGGCCTCGAAAATCCTCTTGACTATATCAAGCGCACGTGGAAGCTCAATTGGTGAGTTACAGACGTTAACCACCACAATAACCGCTTGGAAAGCGCGATAGGAATCCATATACTCCCACTGAGAGGTTGATAGATCAGTTTCAATGCAAAACTGGAAGTTAGCCTCCTCTGTATAAATTTCATCTGGTGTTAAAGAGGGAGGTGTAGATGACAAGCCTTTCCCTTCGGGCCTGCTATCCTTAGCTTTAGTAGCTTCCACGCTGAGAATTGGCTTGAAGGCGTCTTTGAATCGCTTCATACTCATCTGTGTTTGATCGAAACACGCCTGTTTTAGCTGCAGCTCATATCCACTTACTAATTTATCACTGATTTCAGTTGATAAGAACATGCCCTGAATGTGAGGACCTAGAGTAGCACTCATAGAGGAAGACGTCCTGCTAGCAGGCGATCCGTGCGCACTATCCATCTTCATACATAGTGAAAATGGCAGCCATAGAAGTCGCACTAAACTGTGTTGGTCGAGGGTGCTACTGCTTGTGGGATAAAAAAATGAACCCGACCGCGAAATGCGCTCAAACATAATTGGTGTTCCCTTACTCTACTTTTCTTCTTCACGCCTTCACAGGGCGATTCAATCGGAAAGGATAAGTTTATGAATTATGTATGGACGAGCCTACTTAGATGTGTTTTTAAAACTATTTTTTTTTTTGCATCAATATATTCATGCATTGCACCAAAGTAGACGCACTCAGAAAAAAAATTGCCTGTTTGATTTAGTATGTTGAGTTTTTATATATTATGTTGTGAATGTTCAGTAATATGCACCATACTCTAGTTATAGGCTAAATTCTATAATTATCCATTAGAACGATTTGATATCTTCTTGTTTCGTAGATTTATTGATCTCTATATTTCTGATCAAAGACGTTAAACCGAGATTTCAGTATATATATATATAGGTTATTTCTAAAGGTTTGTACTCTTCATGAGTTAAGTAAAATGTGTCCAAATGTGATAGCCTTGATGGGCTCAAAGGCTAACGTATCCCGTGTACCGACCTTATAGTAGAAAATACCTTTTATGCAGACAGGACCCTCATCGTCGTTTACAAAAACGAGCTCAAATTCTTGAGCATTACCCTTTTTCTTGATTCCCTCCTCCTCAGCAGGCGTATTTAATGTTCCTCCAGTGCCTGCCGACGAGCTGGCTTTAATCCTTTCCCTGATCAACCGGCCGTCCTTCACATCTTTTGAATTTTTTTTATCTCGATGAGAGGCCACTTTACCTGAGGCTTCTATGTGAGAATGTTCGACTTCCGCTACACTGCTTTGAAAAGTGAATTTCCCTAGATCTCGCTCCTGCAGAAGCGCCATTACATCTCGTGGATGCAAATAGCCTGTCAACTCCATCATACTATTCGTCCTGATGTTCAAACAGGTAAAGTAAGAGTTAACGAGCTGGATATGGGCAGAGTGATCAAGTGGTTCGAGTTGAAAACGCACAGAGAAGATCAAATGGGCTTGACCGAAGTACCCTTTCCCCGCATGTGCACGATTGACATATTCAGGGTCGAACGGCGATCCCCATGCTGAGAGCTGCAAATCCTCATTTTGTGAAGAACAGCTGCACGTAATACGGTCGCAAACCAACCTTGTGAGCTCTGCCGTGTTGTACTGTGCTGCGCGGAGTGCGCTGACGTCGATTCGATCGCAATCCTCCAAAAATGCTGTTGCCATGGGAAAGTTCTCCTTGTGGCGGAATGCAGCGCACTCTCGGATAATTCCCACAGCACCAGCGGAGATGATCGCGTTGCTGCTAGTCTCGTCCTGTGGAGAGTCGCTACAAACAGAAGTGCTTCCTTTTGTATCCCTATTCAATGTCTGTTGTGAAGATGGATTGTCACAGTCTCGAGAAACCTGCGCTTGTCTTGACGCATCTTTCTGAGGGCGGCTTCCAGTACTGCAAAGAGCAGCGTCTGGGATGAAATCTTCATCGGAAAGCGGCGCCGACACACGCAGCACCTCAGCAAGGCGCCGGTCAGCGTCAGCCCCGAGCACCTCCTCAAGACGCGATTTCAGCCAGAGGAGTTCTCGATATCGCAAAACCCTGAGCGCAACAGGATTAAGATTCGTCGGCACACTAGGTGGACTCTCACACGGATCAGAGTGAGGCACAACAGGACACTGCTGTTGCCGGAGGTACTCCCTGGCAGCCTCTGCACTCAAAATTTTCGGGGGAAGGGCATCAACAGCAGATTGATCTGTGTCGTTTGTTTTTGTTGCCACCAAGCTCTCGACCTTTTCATAGACAGGGTGGCTCGCTTCCCTAGAGCCATCTAAAGCAGCCCGCAAGTCCGCACGACAGATGTCGTAAAGCATTTCTGGATCAAGCGCCCAGCACTCTGAGGTAGTCCTTTCGAGATATGAAGATGACCTTCTTGGAGCGCCCCACGAAAACACAGCTGACGTACCAATATCATGAGATATACCCGCCGGAGATTGGTTAGGATCTCGAGCTTTCTGGTCACAGACCTCATCAGAACAACCTTGAAACCCACTTGATGAGAACGAATCATCGCTCGAAAACGAATACACCGTGACCAGGGGCAGAGATAAGATAAAACGAATATCTTGCACGTAATGTGGTTTATGCCTACATGCCAGCTTCAAGTTTTTGAGGAGAGAATGATAGACAGGAGCAATTTTCATTGCAACCTTTCTACCGTCTCAACTTTTTTGTTCATTAATTCAGTTCAGTAAAGCACTGTTTCATAGGTATTTGCATATAAGAGATGGGAAAATTTCCCATCAAAACGAAAAACAATAGATAAGAGGACAAGAAGTTATTATAGCCCGAATAGACAACCTGACGAAGGATACAACATAGCCATGATCTAATATTTTATATATATTTTTCAAGCGAGAAGAGAAAGCAAAGTAGGAAATACAAGTACCAGTGATATATAGAGCATTGGCAAGGTTTTACCACAGTGCTAATAATAATCGTCAAAACATTACCCGGTAAATTATCAACCTGAAAAGATAAGACCTCCCACCGTTATCGTGAACAACGAATGCAGACAAACGCAAAATTAGAAAGCGATCAAACAGAGAAGAATATTTTTTCATACTGAAAAGAAGTCAAAATTTGTCTAAAGTACTGCTTTGAAAAATAGAGCTATAGTCAACCCCATAATGAGTACAATCATTAAAAGTACACAAATCTTGAACGTCCCAGCGCTTTGGTACTCGGCTGCCTTTTGCAGCTCTGTTCTTGCTCGTTGGACACGCGTGTGTGTAACGTTCATATTATAATCTATTCGATCCAGCATCGCGCCTTGCTCGATGACAAGTGAGCCTAGGTCCTTAAAGATCTCGTGAAGGGATTTGATCGAGGTGTAAATTCTCTCAAATTCCTTCACACGTTCCTGGGCCATTTGCTGGTTCAACATGATCGTCTCAATTTGGTCCTGTGACATCCCCTTTTGCAGATACTGGTCCATAAGCGCATCATTCTCCAACTGCTGCTCGATGGACTTCTGTCGGTCGCCTCCTGCCCAGCGTTGGGACACGGACTGCTGCTTCTTAACATCCATGATATACCTCCGCTGCTTCTCACGGTATACCTTGCTGATTTGAGAAATTTCGTTAACTAAGCACATCTTGACGTTTCGGAGGATGCTAAGCTCGGCGTCGGTTCCGTTGTCAGGAAGCTCCCGCATGTAGCACATTTCCACCTGATTAATGTAATTCTCACTTTCCTTGAAAAGTCTGTCAATGATATCTTGGGCTCGTTCAATCTGCGCTTCCTCCTGGATCTCGTCACGGGAAGAGCTAAATTCTACTCTAAGGTGATTTTTGTGTAATTTCTCAAGAACATCCACTTGTTCTTGAATTTTTTTCTCGATGTTCCGGACTTCATTCATTTTTTCGACCCACAGTGGCACCATGTAGACAGATTGAACTCGTTTCTCTTCAGCTAGCAGCTCCTCATCTTCAGGCCGACGAGGCCGATTCATTCTACATTTCATAAAATCATTGGTACGATCTCGGGTGGCCATTTCGACAGTGAATGTCTAAATATCTTAAACTAATATAGATATATTCCTATATTCCTATAACTCAACAAATAATTGTGTTTTCCAACAATAGAATTACTACCAGAAGGAGCAATTAGTCTTTATACAATCTCCTTTATTATAAAGAACAAAAATAAAAATAGAGCAAGTCAAAAATAAGATCACAAATACATAAAATTTTCAACAACCCATAATTAGCAAACACTTACGTAGTTCGTGACAAGATAAATATAGAGAGAAGATCAACTACGAAGAAAAATAAAAAAAAGTATTAAACTCCGATATTTTTATAATTCAATAATAAATAAGAAGCAAGCAATAATGTCTAAAGATCAATTGACAAAGATACGTAAATTAAACAAGCAAACAAAGAACTAAATTAGATAAAAAAACAAAATGATCAATAAAAAAATGAAAAAAAATTAAAAATACCAATATAAACCAAAGATAATGAATAGGAAATACAAACAAAAACAGAAGAATAAAAATACTGTTGGTTAAAGAGCAGGCAATATAACACAAACATCTTTATCAAATAGGCTAGGCACACAGCGATGCCTTAAATGCGCTGCCGTCTAATGTACACCATAACATGTCCATTACTAGGGATAGCTTAGGTCAAAGGATAGGGGAGAGAGACATTCCTTCGCAGCGAACTCCATACATGCTCACATTGAGCCGGGGGGAAACCACCCAAAAGACAGCACGCGTTTACCCAACGCGAGGAACGATTCTTGAGGGGGGGTTACAAAAATCCATCACCCCTAAAGATTTGCCATTCGTCAAAATTTAAACTGTTCGGAATTCATTTGGTATTTTGATTTATTTGTATATATATTTGTATATAGTTTTTTCGATTCATTTTAAATAACAGACACAACATCACACACACAAAATATATTTTCAATAGGTGGTTCGGAGGGGAAAATAGAAAAATAAACGCTTTTAGTTTGCCTTTTTTTACCATTCTTTTGATGCAAATACTCGGGTCAGCTTTAAACTCGGATCAGACATTATACTCAAAACAAAAAAGAACCATTGTTAATATTTAGTTATAGCTGCCTGTGGAGCTCTCGTAGGTCGGGGCCAAAGGAAGTTCAACGCACAAGGACCAAAAATAGAATAAAGAAAATTGATAATAACTTGCAGGAACCCCTCACTTTTGTTCTTTCCTCTCGATATTGTTTGCAGTTTAACAAAATAAAATATTCATATTAATAGTAAAAATTATCTTCAACACTTCTTCCTCTTCTCACTTCTTCTACAAAACGGTATTATCCCATGACATTCAACGCGCGCACCCCTAAAGGCGTGAGTTCCTTTAGACCCCCAAGAGGCTCCACTCTGGCTTGATCACACGCCAAGGCACGGCTAGATCTTGCTCGCCGAGTTGAGGGACGCGAGAGAAACGGAGAAGACGCCGCTGCCCAGCTGGTCCACCTTGTAAACCTTATTCTCGACATTAAAGCGCTTCTTGAACTCCTTGCGCACGTCCTGGATCACACGGTCCCGCTCGCTGCGTTTCACGAGCGTGATGACACAGCCTCCGAAGCCTCCACCCATCATGCGGCCACCCGCCACAGCCTTATCGTGCCGCAGCATCTCCTGAATGAAGTCGATCTCCGGCGTGGTGTTCCGGAGCTGCTTCTTCATGCCCTCGTGCGCCTCGTTCAGCAGGGCACCAGCCTTCCGGACTCGCTCCTCGTGCGATAGCTCGGGCGTCTTCGAGGGATCCGCCACCTTCTTGAACTCAAGCGTCCGAAGCTGCTCCTGGATCTGGTAGGAGCCGCGCTCGAATTCGCCGACGGTCAGGTGGGGCTTGGCCTTGGCCATCAGGTCCCCCGCCTGGCTGTGACAGCTGCCGAACGCCTCGGGATGGCGCACCCAATCCGTAAAGGTGAACGTCTTCTTGCCGCCGAAGACGTGCTCCGTGATCTTCTTCTCCGCGCTCTCCTGGTCGCTGCGCAGGGTGTTGTACACGTTCGCGGATTCCCCAATCAGCTCATGTTTGATCATGGAGTCGATCAACATGACGCAGTACTCGCCCTTCGACCCAAGTACATGCTCCAACGAGCAGATCGAGTAGCTGAGGTCCTTGCAGTCCAGGAAGATGAACTTGCCCGCCTCCGCGAGCGCGGAAACAAACTGGTCCATGATGCCGATGTTCACGCCGCAGAAGTCCGTCTCAATCTGGCGCCCCTGCTTCGCAAGCTGGATTAACTCCTCGGAAGGCTTACGATCCAGGATGGCGTACTTCCGCCCGGGCGTCGGCTTCGTCGCCAGCTTGTAGCTCTGCGTCGCGCACGCGTCGATGGTCTGCAGGAGCGACACGCCGAAGGCCGCCGAGGCGCTCATGCCCGCGCCGAGGGGCAGCGTCCCGTGCACCACCATGCAAACACCGCGCAGCGGCTGCGCCCCCACGTCGATGCCGAGTTGCTTCAGGCGCAGCGTCATGGCGCCGCGGATGAACGTCTTCCACGACTTGTCCCCCTTCGCGCCCGTCGTCGGGCCGTTGATCGAGTCCAGCTCAAACAGCTCGCGGTAGATAGTCGAGTAGAAGCGCAGCTTCGGCTGCTTCTCGTCCACCAGGTGCTTCACGCGGCCCACAAGGATGTGCGTGCCGTCCAGCACGGCCGCCGGGCAGACCCACCCGTGCATGTAGTCAACGTGCTCACCAATCAGGTTCACGCGCCCAGGTGCGAACGTGAACATCATCCATTCCACATCCCCGTCAGACTTCACGTCGAACGCCTTCTTGAAAATCGGCGTCAGCTCCCCAAGGGTCGCCTTCAGCCGTGTGTCAGGGTAGCTTTCACCAGGCATCTTGTCGAATATTTTATAGCTCGCTTGTTGTTAATTTCCTTAGTAAACGTTTAGTTTGTTAAATGATCTACCGGCGCAATACATATATAGAGAAAAAGGAGTACACATAGGCGTCATCACATATAGAGATATATAGAGCGGTTTGAACCAAACCGAAAAACACACGACAAGTGCAAAGCACACAAGCAATTTTCTTAGCGCAGCACCTACAAAAGAGGCTGGTACATGCCCTGCGCCCCAACATTCCATTCTCCGTTGATCCATGCGATTCAATCTGGCCTGTATTCTGGCTTGTCCCGCAAGCACGGCAATTACACGACTTCATCAGCCTCTGCGCTCTCCACAAAGCAAGCACGCACAAGCCATGAAGCCCATCTTCATCCCAGTCATCACCCCGTTCGGGACTACGGCCTGGGTATGTCTCAATACACTCACCTTTTTGTTTGTTATCTGGTGATGGAGCAGAGAGAGGTAATATATGGAAGTTGGTGAAGTATAGATAACGTTTTTTTTTAGCTTGTTCTTCGTTTTAATTCCTCTCTTGAATCATTGGTAGTTCTGCTTTAACGTTGTCGAGTCCTTTTATTAAAGATTCTATTAGATATGATGCGTTTTGAAGTTCGATTTGCTGTTGAGCTACTGTGCATTCGGTGTTATAAAGCGTAATTTCGAGTGTTTTTTTTTCCTGTAAAAGATTAGTGTAGTTACTCTCTAATTGCTGGTATTTTTCTTCTAAATGAGCTGCATTTGCGTGGAGGCTTGATGGTACGATGGCCTTTTCATGAGGATATGGAGAAGAGGAACTATGCATTCCAGCAAAGACTTCTTTTTTAAGTGTATCTCTTTGGGTTGGTGTTAGTGATGGAATTAATCTATTTTTCTGTTCGTGAGCTGCATCTATAGTAGACATACATGCCTTGCAGTAAGTAAACTGATTTTGCGTTGCATTAATCTCATCCTTTGAGAAGTGAGGCTTTTTCTGGTGGTCCTTGTTCTGTTCTATTGGGTATTGATAATTTTTGATGGAATTAGTAAGCTCAACTTCCTTATGTCTGGATTGGCGCACCCTTGATTTCGACTCTAGAAGAAAAGCTTGATGTTTAGCCTTCATAAGCTCTTCTGATAGTTGTGCTAGACGAACATCACGATCTTGTATCGTGTCCTCGTACATGGATCGCAGCTCTTCCTCTTTCTGAAGCATCTGCTTATTAAGCTTCTCCATGGCTTGCTGATTTTCCTTGACAATGTTATAGAGCTTTTCACCGTGCTCATGGCTCATAGCGCGCAGCTTCTCTTGAAGGCTCAGGTTTTCAGCCTCCCAGTGTTCTGCATCGAGGGCATGTGATTCTTTCTCTGTTGCATATAAAATTTCCATTTGGCTTAATTTCGCTTCCATTGCCTTGACGGTCACTTCATAATTTTTTTCTAATTCTTTAAGACTTTTTTTCGTTTCCTGATACCCCTTCTCTCGGACAGAAAACTTGTCGTTTCTGTTTTGCCCGTCATGCAAGAGTTCCTTCATCTCGTTAACATCTTTTTGAAGCTGGTATGATTTTTCCTCTGATGCCAGCTTTAGCTGCATAATCATAGAACGCAGCTCTGCAGTACTTCTACGCGTATCGGGTTTCGGAGGGTCTTCCTGTGTTATTGCCTCAATGGCAGGGCCACGAGTCCCATAAAGGGGCATCTTGGGCACGCCATTACGCTTGTTTCTAAGATCTCTGGCATTGTTGTTAGGCCATTGGGTTTCTACGCTTGGTAAAGCTTTCTGGTGAGTCTTTTCATGCACAGAAGGCCTATCTATGATCTGAGAAACGACATCATCAGGACTAAGATCATTCAAATTCTTAAGCTTCTTTGATTCCGGTGTGCAGCTGTTTTGCTGCCTTGCAGAAACTTCTTCGAGTTGCTTCGAATACAACTTATCACATTTCAAATCGAGATTGTCTAATGCAAGACGCGCAGACGCCTCATCAGCGAAGAGCGCAGGAAGTGAGAGCGTGGTCACGGAGCTGCAGCCAATTCTTTCATTTTTATTCTTGTTATAACCATTTCCATTAGTGTAAGTATCAGCATCGGTTCCTGTCACCTGTGCACAGGGAGCCCCAAGTATTCTTCCGTAAAATATTTCAAAACGGAGTGCCCCAAAAACTTTAGAATGTGCTCGATGCCACTGTCGCAAACGCTCTTCATCCTTAACATCACAAAGAGAATGACAAAGGAAATTGAAGGCCTCCACATAGGAAGGCGAGTGAGAGACTACGTAATAATAGCGTTGTGAACTCGTTGAAGGCTCGTCTACAGAGTTTTCATCGATGATAAAGTAGAAAATATGACCAACACTTGAAGATGTTGAAAGCTTCCCTAGCTCCATTTACTGTAGCTTACAACAGGGAGTTGTCAATGCTATGTTAATCTTCCCCTAGACGGGCTATAGTAACATAAGGTATAAAGTAAGTGTAAAGAAAGTTATTTTTCCTTTCATTAGATAAGTTTCGCAATCACTGAAAGCTATTATTATTTTGTTGATTCACAAAGAATATTAACAACTAAATGGAAGGTAATCTGAGGTATGCCCTTCATACTCCTTCAGCAGCTTGTTTCAGACACTTTGTCATTATTTTACAACTAAACACCTGAAGGAACCCATAATATGTATCCGAAAAAAGAATTAATAGCATAAAATAAGAAAACAACGCAGAATAACTTTGTGGAAACACCTTTTTGCGTGTAATGAATCTTCCTTTGGTGCATTTGGGTTAAAATACCCTATGATTCATTAGAAATCAGCAAAACTCATGCTTGGGCTTGTTGGTGCTGTCTTCCAAAGGCGGTGGCGACAGCATAGCGATAGGCGCCCCATATCTTTTCTTTTCCTCTGTCCGAAGCTCTTGTGTTAGAAGTAGGTTTTCTGGGGCGGGGTCATCCATTAAGGGATTAATTTCACCTTTTCGGGCATATTGCATCAACCGCACCCCGAGCTGCCGACCGCCCCCCCGCTCGTAGAATGCCTCTCGCGAGCCCAAAAAAGTCCACGGCTGTGGATGCATCGCCGTATCGACGATGTCTGGAAAATACGGAATCGTGAAGGGCTTCATGAGATAGACAAGCGGTTGATCCGCCTCGTAACGACCTTTTTGAGAGGAGCGTCTAAACCCAACATTAGGTCGTCGAAAGCACATGTCTGCGCGTGGAGCGACAAAAGCTGGTTGAAAAAGGTAGGGATTTTCAGGATCCTCAACGCAGCGCATGAGGTTTGACTTGGGGTGTTTGGTCGGGATCACATTCTTAGGCCAGAGCAGTGGATTCCGCCACGGGCTGGTTTGCCGAACGTACCGCATCAGCTCCTTGTTGTGAACCTTCTTGAGCAGGCTCTTGTAGGCGGACTGCTTAACAAGATCATCCGGGAAACTGCTCGCGATGGCGGCCTCACAGCCATCCGCACGAGTCGTCAACAAAGCCGTTGCAACCCTTTCCTGGATGACGCCAGGGGAGGGGGGGAATTTCTCATCCCCTGGCAGGGATCCTAACACCGTCATATCCACAGTGGACGCCGTTGTTTGTCCGGCCGCACTGTCTTTGGAATACGTATCAACCAGCAAAAGCGGATTCGTAAGTTTTTTCGGAACCTCATCCGAGGCTTCATCCGTACGTACAGGAAGCAAGGATTGTGTTTCCAATAACAATTCTTTGTTCCATTCGCACAGCTCGTTGTCGAGCTGCGTAGGTGTGAGAGGTAAATTACGTACCGTCGAGAGCTCTTTTTGAGAGAGTAATCTCTCCGACAGCTTTTTTGCTTCCGCAAATGTTAGCCTCTCGGTTGGTATAGCATGCAAGCAGTTCATCACCATATCAAATCGCAGTGTGTCGATTCCGCCCATTTTGTAGGCACTTGTGACTATCACAGGATGATGGATTTCATTAAAAAGTAGCTCTTCTCGGATGTCTTGCACACGAAATGTGTGAGTTGCTTTATTACTTTCATTGATTTGATCTGCCTTGGTCAGAACAATCGTAAAGTTTGGCACCTCCCTCGATAAGAATTTTAGCATGTCAATGTCTTGAATATACACCCCATTCTTGTAGTGTACATCCATGCAGTAGTACAACATCTTCAAGCTTGGCTGACAGCGCACAAAGTTGCGAAGCAGCACGGCATGCTGTAGTAAAATAGACCACGGAACAGAGGTGCCACCGTAACCAGGGAGATCCGCGACATTGAACACGCTACCGACGTTGAAGTAGTTTATTGCATCGCGCCGAAGCTGCCTGTTCGACCGACTAACATGCGCTACAGACCGAAATAATGAACGCAGAAGGGAGGTCTTGCCTGCGTGCTCACGTCCTGCTAAAGCAACAAGTGGCATCGCGGGGTTCCCATCAGGAACAAAAGTTATATTTGTAGCCGTTGCGGTATGCATGTGTCCTTTGCTAAATATCTGATCTGCAAGCCGAGAGGTGAGAAGGTCGCGCGCGTTGGTGGTAGACGCAACTGCCGCCTTCATATGGGCCTCTTTGGCGAAGAGATCCCGCCCCCGATCCCGTCGTCGCTTTCGGATCCGCTCTTCTCTCATCTTCTGCAAAGCAATTTTCGGAAGTCGACGGTTCTTATTCGTCAGCTGATGCGTGACAGATGCTTCTGTCAAGTCCTGACAACAAATAAGACTACGCCTAAACATCGCTTTCAAGTGGTACTAAATACGACAAACGAAGTCTCCTTTTCTATTGAGGCCTTTATAGCTAAAGGCGCTAATATCCCAGCATAAGGTTTGAATAATAAAACAGAGGTAGGAGCTTACGGAAGGGTTTCAGTGTCGTACGGAAAAACTTATCTATAATTTTAATGAGCTTATATCCAAGACGTGTGCAATACGCGTGTTGTTACTTCTAAATGTAAATAAAAGAATCAAGTGTAAACGACATAGCGATGCAAACTTTATTAAATCAATTGCATTACGCATCTTTAAGAGTTTATTCGGACCCGTGATCAGCTACTTGGAGCACAAGCACTCCTTTCTACTTTCTATAAATGCTTTTGCTATTTACTTTCATGTAATGAAGACAGTGTTTGCTATACATAGGAGACGGATTGCCCCCTTTTCTTTCGACCTTGTACATATGTCCCACTCATTCAAATTCCATGGGGAGCGCATATATATATATATATATCTATTCAACACTATGATCTAGCTTCTTCGTTTCTACGACATCACACAACACCAAAACAGATGTAATCTTCACTATCCCATCTGCGAAGACCGTTAGAGTAGCGCAGGTGGGTGGAATCTGGGCAACGCTCTGGGGTGTGGAACCAAGGATCAATGGAGTGAATCCAGCGGAGCGTGTTAGGAATTCCACGCACAAAATGTTCAAAAGACATCGGCGACAACCTGCCAAAGGGTATCGACGTGGTTTTGGTGAATGACAACTCGGAAAAAATACCGAAAAGAATCAACCAGCAATAATGCTCGGTATCTCGCACGACCGACAGGATCAGCTTTCTGCATGTGTCGCGCGATGGCTGCCGTTCAGCGGCTCGAATACGTTTTGCGATGGTGTCCAACGTGAAGGAGAAGCTGCACCTCGCGTGCAGCGTCTGCAAGATTGTGTCGACTAACCTAACACTTTCGTGCAGTGAAATGTTTACTTTCGAGAAGTGGTGCGAGAGCAGCTCCAGAAAGTCGTTTAAAAATGATAGCTCCGCACCGAGGTACTTCACCGATTCGGTGAAATGTGAAGCGGGCGGATGTCTGGCCTCCTCAACCACGTTGGGCAGGAAAAACGTTTCATAACCGAGCGCTGTGGAAATCAAAAGCGTCGAAGCGACATAAATCGTCTGATGCTCCCCCATATCCGCTCCCAGCACGACGACGTCTCCTGCAGCTAACCGCGCGTGGATGGTGTAGACCAGCTTTTCATACAACCTCAACCATGTGTTTCCCATCGGAAGCGGGGGAATCCATGGGCGGAGGTAACTCAAAGTGACGCCACCGGCACCAGACGCCTCGAAGGAGGCCGCCAGATCCCGCAGCGCATCGTGCGGAGTGCGTAGCCATCCCCCCCACGCCTCTATGCTTTCCTCTACGATACTGTCCGAAGTCGTTTCTGGAGTCAAGGTGAGGGGGTCGACCTTCGGCGAGCCCGACAGCTCTGTACAGATGGTGGGTGACGCGCACTGTGCTAGTTCTCGCAACGGCGATGACGGGTCCAACCCAAACCCACGCTCTTCCCGCGTGAAAGAAAGGGATTGGCTCCGGTGGTTAACCTCATTTTCCCGCTTCCGGAAGGTGTAGAACTGCGGTTGAAGGGACTGACTAGACTTTACGGTGTGTACTGAAAAGAGTTGTGGCTGAGGTTCAGGAACTTTACCTTGGCCTCCAGCACCCCTTCCTGGGGCCCGCGGAACTCCACTGAGCACACAGGGGTAACGTGCTTCATTCAAAACGGGGGTGTAGTGATTAAGGGTAAGCCCTTCTTTACCCTTATTCTTTAACAAGAAACTCATCAGATGCGCATCCTCATTGACTAAGCTGCATCGAAAGCAGTTGCTCGGCTGAGGCAACTCAAGGGTAATCACTGCTGACTTCTGTAGTTTCGTTTGGTTAGCCTGTGTACCAGAATCCGTTTTGTCAGCTTTCACGGATTGTTCTTTTGTGGCATCGGAGGTTCCCTCAGAATATTTAGGGTTTCGCACGACTTTTCGACGCATCACATACTCATCGTAGGCCGCACAGCCCTCTAACTGCTGCTTACTTTGCCGCGGCACTAAAAGGAAAAGATCATAATCAACGTAGCACGCCGGGTACGTACAAAGGTTGCACCAAAGGATATCAACCTTTTCGTGATCGGACTCCTTACACGGTGAAGATGGTTTCTCTGGATTCGCGTCACTGAAGCACTCATCCCGCCTTCTAGAAGTGGACCGCTCTTGGTAAACTAGATGCTTCAACACCTCACCTAGAGTGATCAGGGAAGCGGTAGGTGCGAGCCAGTAGACTTTAGAGGCAAGCCTTGCCCATAGCTCTTTTTTGAAGTTCGATTTAGGAATCGCATCCTCGTCTTCCGCCTTGATTGGCAGGCCTTCGTCACATTCAGAACCATGGCCCCCACAGACAAGCATTCTCTCATATTGAATACATTCCTCCGTAGTCAGGACAGGAGGTAACGGCGATGTGCTTCGATTCAGGCAGTTGGTAGTCGACGCAAAAAAGTTAGTATACTCGACAGGCTCCGGTGACCCTGTGTGAGCTGTGTGCTTATTCGCAAGGGAAACAAGGTGGGGGCGCGAAAACCACGCAAGGATCTCGTCATGGTAATTTTGCATGTAGGTTGAGAAAGAAGTGTCATTTAATGTGGAAAGTTTTTGCCGGTGATAAAGTTCGGTGTAAGAAACATGCATCAGATCCAACATGACCGATTTAAGCTTATCGTAGGCTTGCTGTTGCAGCATGGTCATGCCGGTGCACTGCGTCATGAGCTCAGTCGCCTCTATAAGGATCCGAGAGCCGGCAAGTTTGTAGCATTCTAGGAGACGATGCAGAGGGTTGAAATGCGGACGGAGCTGCGTATGCCGCCGTGACGGCACCAGCACCGTCTCCGCCTTCCATTCTTCGGTCTCGCTTTCGACCTCTATAACTCCCTCGTCTTTATGTTCTTTCACGTCCTTTTCCTTCGTCTCCTCGGAGTCATTATTCATACAACCTGAACCTGGGCGCGTGCAGGAAGCACTAGAGGACCAAATAGTACGACGAGAGGGAACGTAAATCGTCACCCCCTTCGGTTGGGGTGGGGCGCTTAAGTTGTAATTACCAAAAAGGTCCCCATGTAGGCTCTGCAGTCGATTAGCGCAAATCTGGATAAGTGGTGGGAGGCTCTCGGGAAAAGATTGGAGGGTGGTAAAAAGCTCTAACAAGGAGTTTAACCGAAGTTTCTCCTTCCCAGCACGCAGCGATGATAATGGCATTTGAGCACGTACACGCGAACCTCGAAAAAGGGCCTGTATACGCGTCGCGGCAGCATCCTGGTGGGCCTTTACTACCAACAAGTAAATTGAATCTTCATTTCGGCGTCGCCGCTTTCTTTCCTCTAACGTTTTTTTTTGAAATTCTTTCATCTCTGCGCTTGCATCTTCCCGTGCGATTCTGTGAATCAAATACTTTTTGGGCGTTCGGCTTCTTCCATTCGTCGTAGGCCTCCGGGAATTGTTTAAAAACTGAGACGCAGCTAAGGAATTAACGGCCTGTGTTGCATCCCTTCCCTTAGTTCGCCCCATTACCTCAGTTGGAGACAAATCAAGGTTTTGATTGGAGATATCCGTGGTTTCAGGCGATAATTTCAACAAATCAGTCGCCATTGAGGGGTTCTCAACTAAAGTAGATGGCCACCTTTCCCCTTTTATGGTGCTACTATATCTTAAAGGCAATGACCTTGGTGATGAGTTGACGGCGACACGTCTCCCATGAATTTCGGTACGAGAGCCGTGAAGTCGGTCACGTTGCTCTCGTCTTTGATGAGTTTCGTTCCAATAAGCTAAGCAAAACTCTAGATCAAACTGCCTTATACGTGCAAGGTTTTCCCGGCGAATGTGCTTCATTTCACTCAACTGAAAGCGCTCAAAATAGGGGAAAAACGCAGAAAGAATACGTGCGAAAGTTAGCGACGACGTAGGACCTTTTTGGTAGGACACAAAGAGCACCGTTGGCAGGCAATCCTTGCACATCTCAGCAACCTTTCGAAAGCCGTTGTCAATGAGGTTAAAAATTTCAAGGCAATCACGTTGAACGGAGGGGAGCTGTACCAGCTCCCACCGGCTGGCGTTGTGCACTGACAACATCTCTTCAAGTCCCTCTTTCACACTCGAGGTAGATGTGGTGCTCAACATACTTCTGTTCGTGAATATCAAAGGGAAAATTTCCTGCAAGGAGTACACATCCGTCGGGCTGATCGAGCTCTTTAGTAACTCCAAGGCTTTTTCGCTAAAAGACTGGCCTTCTTTTGGGAGTGGCGCACCTGGGTTGCCGCGGCGGTACTGGTACTGCAATACATCTGTGAGCGTGTGAGAGTAAGGGATCCCCTTGATGAAAACAACCTCCGAGGGGACTGCCGGCGGCTCGACAATAAGAAGCAGTGGCGCCGATGCAGGTGTGAAGGTCATGCTAGCAACCCCTGTGGTGGGCCTTGAAAGGCTAACACTATCATTAATAGCAGGGCCTTTTACTTTCTTTTGAGTCATTATTACTTCAACCTCCATGTACTGCATCGCAGTGATGATTTCATAGGAAGTAGGCGCGACGAGTTTCGCGACGGGAACATGTGGGGAAATTCTTTCTAGCGGCTTAGCTAAATGAGCCAAAGGCTTCAGCTCAGCATATACTCCACCTGGATAATAAAAACAAAGATCACCACTTCCCTCGACATACGAAAGATGATCGCTTCTTGGGTTTTCACCCTTTATTTCACAGCTAGAATTCCTTTTTGATGCTTGATGCAGCTGCTCAGCTATAAACACGACTGGATTCGAAGGCTGCTGCTTTAAGCAGACATGCAAAGATTCAATCACTTCCCGGCTAAAGTGGTCATCGAGGTATTTGAAGCACTCCATGTTAAACGCTTCTCCGTCCTGTAAAGCGCGCTTATTATAGTGCTTTTGATTTTCTAGATCCATTTTGGATTTTGTTTTGTGAATAAAGTCCTTTATGCACGTGTTCTACTAGATGATTATCTCCACATAGAAAAAAATATTCGAATAACGTAAAGGAAAAAAAGCTTTATAAAAATGTGATTAATGAACCGTGTATATAAATAGGATCCGCTGCTTGAAACGAAGAAAATATTCATAGAGAACTCCTATTTTAAGAATTCGAACGCTTCATTAAGGTCAGTGTACATACAGACTGAGACGTCTAAAAATGATTTAAAGGCCTAAAAATGGAGGAAGATATCCACAATAACTTCTTAACGTTCATTAAGATACGCATACAGACTAATAAAATTATACTATTGGTTATCCATTTTCGGAGTTTCACAAAAACTTATTTAAAAAATCTGAAGCAAAGGTTTTAGTTGAGCTCATATAAAGTATTCGATTGTCTAAAATTGTATTCATTATACACAGAAATGTAAAGCATATCCCCGCATTTTCCTCATAGAATTATACTAGTATGAAGAAATGACACCGGTAGATAAGACACGAATATAACCTCAGCCGGAATGCATATTTGACGAATTCTAAACAGCACAATGCTGTGTGCATATACCTACTATAAAAATTATTAGCAATTACTGAGACTATATAAGGTAAATATTTTGATTTTTGCTTTTCAGAATTTAATCAGCTACAGATTTTCCAACTGTTGGTTTAAAAGGTACGAGAGAGGAGAATAAGCCAAGTAAGTTAGTCTGGGTTAGACAACTCATCAGCTGGTTTGCATGTATCCTCTTGGTGAACATGATTAGTACTCAACCTGTTTGTTGGTGGAAAGATACATGTGATCATGCTTTCAGTGCGATTTGTAATATCCCCCGAAGACGTACCGCTTGTTTTAGACGTATCAGATCCAGGGTCTCGTTCATCAAACAAGGCCCGATGATTTACTTCAATAGATCCCCCATTTGTTGTAGATTCAGCAGTAAAAAAATGCTTTCGATCGACAAAGCCATTTTCACGATCAGATACTTGAAAGTTAGATAACAAATCTGAAGATTCCCCGTCAATAGCAACATCAGCAACGGTCGCAGAACGCGATAAGATACCATCTACCGGGTTCGCAAAGGAGCTGGAAAGAACGACAAACGAATTATTAGCGAGTAAATTGTTGCCTTCGTCACCGTAGAGCTCTGCGACCCAAGAGATAGGTTGGGCTACCTGTTCGGGTACCTCTTTTTCATGCTTCGGGGCGTCCGCGGCGTGATCAAGGTTTTCCTGATGCGACTGCTCGACTATATTTTTATTATCCTCGGTGGGTGGATCAGGCAATTTCAGCTTAAGGGTAAAGACTGCACTAACCAATAATGGGATGAGGGATAAAGTGAAAGTAAAATGGTGGTTGAAAGGGAAAACGTGTGGCTCCGAGATGGACCACGCGAATAAGGGCGCAAATGTGAACGGGACAATGCAGCGAACGATGCAGGAAACACTTTGCTGAATGCCGTACATGATACTCACATAACCCTGTGGAGCAGACCGTGCAACGACAAGCATGAGCGTGGCGAAGGTCCATGACTCTAAAGCCTTTCGTACCAAGCCGAGCGCCATCGTGCACCAAAACGCATTCGTTTCGGAAAGATTAATCACAAAAGGAAACAGCAAATTTATGGAACCATAGGCCGTCTGGGACAAGGACCAAAATACCATCGGATTCTGAAAGAGTGAAAGAACTTTAGAGAAGTACACATTTGAAATAACCGCGGGCACACTATTGACAAGAATTAATAGGCCAACATTACCAGAGGAGAGATTCAGCCCACCATTTTTCCTTGGAGCGATTGTCCATAATGGAAAGACCTCTGCGAAGATCATATCGGACCCACATATAAGCATCGCTATAATGCATACACCTCGTGTCAAGGGGTGTGAAAAAGCTTGCTTATAACCAAAGGACTTCCGTTTAGCATTACGATCTAGTGATTCCATCGACAACATTTCGAGTATTTCATCTGATGGATGATCAAAGGTATCTTCTTCGCCATGTATTACGACGGATTTAGTACAGTCGGCATCGTTACGACGGCCATCTCCGGTCTCCGCTAAGGGATATGCCCTATGAAAAAAATCGTTTGCTAGCTTATTCAGGGCTAAAGTGATACTGAAACCGTGCTCTGTATGATCCTCTTTGGTTACCGTTGGATCAGGCAAGTCTGGGTCCACAACCACAGCACCTGTGGCACGTGTGCTATTCATCAACGGATCCTTCTCCACAATGACCTTCGGCTGTAGGTAGCGAAAATAGGGTCGTAGAGGGGTCTCAATTTTAGAAGGAAGTTTTGTGCGAAGAGGTTTTGCGTCCTTATTTGTCTCCTCAAGAAACAAAACACAGACGACAATCGCCACAGAATTGTATGTAGCGGCAATGAGACTAGGCAGAAAAGCCGGATGCATCGCCCAGAAGCCTTTTTTGTTCCAACTCAAAAACGAAAGCCAACCTTGATGAGCGGGATCATAAAAAAGACCCCCGACCGTCGGTCCGATCAGTGTGCCCACACCCCAAGTCAGGCTAACGAGCGCGAACCCGCTGGACTGGTTGGTGTAATCTGTAACATCGGCAATGACGGCCTTAGCGGCCAACGAGCACCCCGCCATGATGCCATGCGCAAGGCGCCAAAAGGCGCACATGTAGATATTCGAGCACAGGCCAAAGAAGAACATTGAGACCGCGCAGCAAGTGACCCCGATCACGATGGCGAATTTACGTCCAAAAGTCTCACTGATATACCCCCAGTGCTTCCCACTAATGACTTGTCCAAGCATAAAGAGACCCACCAGGCATCCAGCCGTGTAACCTGCCTTCTCGGGAGACCAGTTCATCATAAAGGAAACATAGAGACCAACAAAGGGGATGAGCATGGTGGAACAAATGCTCTCCGTCAGGAGAACGATACAAAGGATCGTAAGTTGCCTTCTCGGAAGCGGCGTTGGCTTGGTTTTACCATTGGAATTAGCGCTTTGTTCTTTCTTTTGTGTAGGTGGCATTAAACTAAAGATTTAGAAGAAATAAAAATTAACCTTTTATTTTGCACTGTATTTAATACGCAAACCCTTAAAAGGAGAAGTGTGAGACGACGACAAATACTTGAGGACTGCACAGTGTAGACACTGAGCCGGACGATCACGAAAGCGAAAGAAAATAAGGAAATATAAAGACAAGTAGTTTCCTCAGAGTATGCAAAGGTAGGAAACTAAAAAAAGCAGATGGAAAAGAGGGCAATTTAGGGAAATGATTGTGATAGCGAGGAAGCAATTGCTCTATCCAGAAATCTTGAGGACACATCTGAGTAATGAGTCTGATCTGTGCGAGAATATTCCAGACAATCCATATCATGGTGAATGCGTTAGATTCAGTAATGTTATCCAATTATATTATCAACAATATTGGCAAGCAAACTACTTCTGTTAATAAGACTCAAAGAGGTATTGAAACCCAAAAATCCCTATGTTAGTTTGTGTCTCTAGCCTAATAAGGCAAAACAGATCGGTTAGCAAGCTGCTTATCAACGATTATTCTTCATCATGAAAATTGTTAATCTGCTTACATATTTTTCACTAACGAATAGTTTACCTAAAGAAAAAAGAAGAACTGTCTGCACAATGGAAAACTCGCATGCCCCTGAGATTATCCTCTTGATTGTTAGTTGTAGACTACCCAGTAGTTGAGGAAAAGAAGGATAACATGATTTTAAAATGATTCTAACAAGCTGCACTAGCAAGGTCAGGGTCATTGGTAAAATACAATGGGAACATAACATCGACCTAACATCGACCTTTTTTATTCTCGTCCCATGTGCCATTGTTAAAACATTACTCGTTGTGAGAGATGTGATCAAAAAATTAGTAATCCAATTACATCTACACGCATTGAGATGCAATTCACCCCATATGTGTATTAAAAGTTCTAATGGAGAAGCGAAGCGTAACGAGATATAGAATGCACAACAATAAATGATAGGCTTAAAAATAAAGGCGGCACACGAGGGTTACTTCCTCCCTTTCCTAAAGGGCAGCACAATGAGTTTTACCAGTTCTAAGAGTTATAATTCTGTTTTTGACACTCACCATCTCAGCTGAATGCTGCATTAAATACAAGTCTGCTAAAATACACTTCAGTTTTATTTTACTCACTTAAAAACACAAGCTCTATGACAATCTTGACTAGTTTTACGTTATTGTAGAAATCCTCTAGAACTTCATGAATGGATTTGGTTTACTCACTTGTGAAACAACGATTTAGGTAGGCAACCACAGCATCTTTCTCAGAGAACGCAAACAAAGGTGAGTTGTGCCACGATAGAATTTTATCTCCATGAAGCTCGAGGGCATATTTAGAATCCTGCCCATCTGGTTGAAATTGAAGTAGACGGGCGATGGATGCCGTTTGGTAGGGAATAATCTCGTCCTTTCGCGCGTACAACATGAGTTTACGATTATGCTGAATAAAATTCCAAGAGCGGATGGTGTTGAGCTCCCCTATGCAATGAAACAGGATAAACTTCGTGACGGCCGGTGTAAAGGGTGAAAAAAGCGCTGCAGCGTCGTAAAAGTTAGAAAACGAACGATCAAGCACGAGTATGCTTGTCGGAAAACCACAAGCTGCAACCTCGGCAGCCAGGGCCCCACCAATGCTGTGACCAAACAGAACTAGATTGGACGGCAGAATGCGCTCTCGTTTAACAACATGCCGTGCAACCGTCAAAGAGTCCTTTACAAGATCACTAAGTTGTGAAACACAACCACTGCTACGCCCAACCCCACGGGCATTAAATAAAATGAGATTCGCGCGAATTTGATCAGCAAAAGCTGAGTTTTCGAACAGAGAAGACTCTAAAAACTCAGCATTACCACCAAAATACATAATCCAGCGTGATGTGTCATAAGGCTGCCTGACAATCACCGTATCCAAGCTCTCTCCATCTTCAGAGGGGATTTTGATGCGATCGACACGTTTGTTAAGTTGGTTAACAAGATGTGAATAAGTGTTGTCGTAAATCGTTTCTCGATTCTTTTGACTGACGAGAAACTGTATGGTACTTGCCGGAAAAACCACTAACATAATCAGGCCACCCAGGACTGACCGGAACTGGTATATCATTAGGAGAGTAATACCAAGCCTATTTTTCGGAACATAGTAGGCCATGCTAGTCAACCCACCCAATATTGTGCTTATAAAAGGACAAGCTAACATGCGAAGGAAAGGGGTATTGGACTCTCCAAATTTGAAATACCACCAAAACGTTGCAAGACCCTGAATCCCAAGTATTAGGCTGTATAAAAGAGGCGAAATCCGACGAAGAATAGCACTAGTAAAGAGCCAACCGATTGAAGGAGATAAAAATTTTAATGAAAGGGGAAGCCTGGAAGGCACGCTTACATGTGCTGCAAGACCTAAAAGGAAAAAAACGGCCGAAGATAAGCCCATTGGTACTCCTTATTTCTTAAAGATCGATACCAGATTCCTAATCGATGTTAAGTTTATCGTAACTAAACTAAGGACCAAAAATAAAAAATGTAATAAACCGATCCCCGTATATGAGTAATTTTAAGTTAGAACTGTATAACTATATAACTAAATAACTATATTGATATACGTTTTTCTTTATGTACTAATTGAGATAGAATTAAAGACATTCAACCGCATGGGAAAATTAAAAAAATGTGAACAGCACAATAATCTAGTTTCTATTCTTGAATAAAGGAATATTCATTCCAGGAGCACTGTTTGTGAAATGTTACTTTCGTATTTGTAGAGGTACTTTTAGTGCTGATTATTCCGATTGGTACAACAATTCACGGAGAGTGCACAAATAATGGAGTAAAAAAAGACACTCACTGAATAAAATCAAGAGCGAAGATACATAACCATCAAATGCACAGTAGAGGAAGACTTCACTCTTACGTAGGCGTAGTAAGACTAAAAAAACGTATCTATACTCCATGGACGGATGCATTTCGCTACCTCAGACCCACCAACGCGTTCGCAAGAGATAAAGCGTTGTCTAAAGGCTGCAGCTCTTGCGGATTCCCGTCGAGGGAAACAATTTTCAGCGGGAACACCACCCCTTGCGGAAGCACATTGTAGAGCAGCATCGCATTCGGCTGCCGACAAAATTCCCTGGGGACTGCCCGAGAGGCCGCTAAGCGGCCAACGCAAACGAGCTTGGCGCGGTTTTCAGGCTTAACCGAAGACCAACTGCAAGGTATGAAAGGGAAATCTTCGCCTTCGGTCGTCTGAAAACCAACAGAATCCTTTGCGTGTTCTAAGGGTTCACATATTTTGTCTACTTCCGATTCAACCCCGGTTCCTCGGTTCTTCCGATGAACTTCCTCACATACCTTCTCCTCGATCATATTAAGAGAAGAGAATGATTGATGTGAGGGTGGACGCAAGCGTTTTCCGGGAAAAAAGGACACGAGAGGATCAGCAGAGCTATTTGAACACGAACGACTGCTGCTCGATAATTCCTCAGAGCTGCCAGGATCAGTATCATCATTTATATGACAGGAATCCATAAAATTAATAAAGGAAGGTAATCGTTGTATGTAAGGGGCAGTATCCGATTGTAAAATGCTGTGAGTAAGGCCTCGTTGATGGAGAATGAAAGCGGCATTCGTTCGACCCGAAGCGTCACTTTCCAAACCGACGGCAAAGCGACTAAGTTTTTTTTGAAGTTTTGAATCTGCTACATTCATCAGGTCCATTAGCTTCTTTAATGCGTTTTTTTTATCACGCGCATCGTGAAAACAACTAGAAAAAATGTCAAAGCTAATCGACAAAGGCTCAAGCCTGGACTCTGTGTCTTTAGCGGTCAACAAATGAACGGGAAAAGCAGTCAATTCATCTAAACCTATGGTGAACGAGGGGTCACCATGTGTTAGTGTCGACGTAGGATTAAATTTTCTGTCAGACGATGTTTTTTTTGGTCGATGAGAACGCTGGTGCAAAGGATTCCTCTTGTTACCATGAGGGTTCAAAAACCATGTAAAGGACGAATAAATGCCCTCCCAGACCATTTCTTGAATCCCATCACCTCTTTGTAGTCCCCTGTCACCTTCCTGATTGTCATCGTTCGTATTTGACCTTAAACGAAATTCCTTCAAGATCAGTATCTGGGGCTTAGGTGCGTGGTTATCTGAGGAAGCGCTGGAGGCACGCTCCGATTGCACGTAGGCTGCGCAATTACTGCTTGGCGCGATCGCCATCATCATAGGGAACTTTCGTAAAACCTCACGTTTGTGCTCCGCAAAATTTTTTTGCTTCAAACAAGAATCCACGTTGCGGTTACTAGTCAGTGGCTCTTCCTTGTATACCAACTTCAGAGCCCCTGTTATCATGTAGACCACGTCGTTGGAGTTCTCCTGGCATCGGAATACCGACGGCAGTTGGTTTCTGAAAACGATGCGTTGGGCGTTTGGCTTCGATCGTGGTGGCCTTTCAGTTTGGCAGGCGTAAACTGCCTTCAAAAATATGCCCAGTTGATGAGCCATCGCAGCCTGCTGTGAGTTACAAGCGAGTGCGACTCCCTCCTGCGGAAGGGGGAGGAGGCCGCGTCTTTTCAACAACTCAGGAGACGCGGCAAATAAGGGCGCACAAACCTCCGGTGTGGGCGCCTTTTTAAGTCGATCATGAGCCTCAGCAACGCGAGCCTCGATGAGGATACGCGGCCAACAGCATTTGACGTGCTTTTGATACACATCAACGACAGTATCTAAAACCTCAACGCTAACGATAAAAGGAAACCACGAGGCATGCTCAGCCTGCAAAACAGGCCTCAAATTTGATTGCTCAAACAATGGAGGAGTGGTGCCATTGGTGTTGAGAAGCCAATGGATGGGCTTAGTATAAGGAATTCCCATAAAGTCGTCCATATAGGAGGAAGCTTAACGGGAAGATGTTCAACCTCAGGAGAAAGAAAATTAATACGTTAACACAAAAAGGTTGAAAGAGATCAACGCCAGTTTTGCCTTTATCTGAGACACGAACTTTGCTTAGCTAAGACTTTTGACATGATCACACTAGAAAATACTAATAAAAATAACGGTCGATTTCAAGAAAAAAAGATTCAAGCGAAGGAATGCACAGCAAATCTACCTTTAGAAAAAAACAGTGCAATGTATAGAACCGTTTGAGTTCCTATTTAAACGAATTGCGTATGCGAAGCACCTTTGCTTATGCAAATAACAGCATAAAAAATAACTTTTGCTTACCTTGAAAGGAGATTTGACAACCTATTATTCGTTTACAAAAAATGGGTCATGACTAAATGATAACATTAATACTCCACATCTCCTTTCAGCATGTAAAACACAAGTGTTCTGTTTACGTCATTCCGCAAACCTATGCACTAGGCTTCAATAAACAACCTTGTCTGCCTGCCCAACTTCGGTGATTGGTGTTTTCTTTTTGAACATTCATCGTCAAAAGTCGAAATATTTTAATTGATTGGCTGTAATACATTTTGTAACGCATAATAGCGCTAATTTGACGGATTTTTCACCCCTGATGCTCTACATGGGTACAATTACCTCGCACACCTCCCTGTAGTAAAACAATGCAACGCTGCAATCTATCATAAAATGATAAACTCAGCCGACAGCGATGAGCGTAGCTTCTGCATCCTGAGTAACAGAGCCCGGGGGATTCATATTTTCGCACATCAACCTACACAAAGCTGCATTACTATGGCTAAAAGAAAGCAAGGAAGAAAAAAACAAGAAAGGAAGGTGTATAGAACCATGTGTAGCTACATGACCTTTGTTTTATCATGTAGAATTCAAAGCGACGAAAATGCATAAGCGATATTTCATAGCTTGTCGCAGCTACTCAAAGGATTACAACCACAAAAAGTATGATGAACATAATTTTTTTCCTTGACAATCATTCGCATGGATATTTGCCCTAAAATGATGCAAACCCCATGCAAATGTATGGTATTTATTATTATTATTATTTTCTCATGAGAGATTCAAGAAAAAAGATGCAGGAAAAGAAGACTCTTCTTTGACAGCAGCTATCATGTGTGGGTTTCATCCGTCACATTAATTGATGCTACGATTTTGTGAATCTCTCCTTCATTTTTCCTTTCATAGAAAAAATGTCTAAAAATGATATAGTCGTGCACGATAAGATCTTTTATAGATTAAAGTTTGTCGTATTTTTCGCCATAAAATCGAACTGCGTGTTCTTCATAAGATCAATACTGCCTTCCCATCATGTTATTACAGACTAAACACCATTTAGAGCAAACCGCGATCTAGAAAACGACTATTATTAAGTTCGACGTCACTTGCTACTAGGTGGATTCGACTACGAATCAAATACGCATCCAAAGAAAGATGTGGCGGTTATTAATTTACTTTGACTTGCCTGTTTAGCTCCCCGCCTCATCCTCCCGTCCGAAGTTAAAAGTGTTGGAATATATCCTTCACGTCTCTAAAGGAAAGTCTAAAGCGAAGAAGTAGTCGTTTTTACACTTGTATATTGGAGAAAATAGCCAAGAAGGCATCGCGGACGGCCGTCGTATCCACGCCCGGTAGCTCTTCAGCCACCTCTTGGAGCATCGCGGGCACTTCTTTTTCCACAATACTCGGCGCAAACACTCCCGATCGGATGAACTCCACGGTGCCGTCTACCGATCCATAGGCATCGGTGCCCATCGGAAGTTTTTGCGCTAAATCCTCAAGAGCCGTCAGAAGAGGCGCGAAGCGCTCAGAAACCTCCCGTTCATGACGCTCGACGTGCTGACGTCGCGCCTCGGCGGCCTCCTCGCCCTCCCGCGCCCGTTTTTTCCGCATGGCGTCGAGCATGGCCTCGTAGCCGTCGGCCTCGTTATCGTCCTCGGCGTGGCTGCTACTACGGCTGGTCGGTTCCGCTTCCGAAGTCGGCTCGCCCGCCGGGAGCTCCCCTCCGTCGCGGGCGGAAATCAACCCCAAATCACGCTCGAGCCGTCCGGCGGGGTTGCCATGCGTCGACGGGCGTTTCGCCCCGCCGTGGGGGCCCGCCGGCGGCCCCCGCATCAGGGCCTCCACGCGTGGGGAGTGGAGTTGGCTGAGGAGCTCCGCGTCGAGGTCGAGCTGCTCCCGCAAACTCATCGGGCGGCCTTCTTTCAGACGCCGATCCAACACCTTCTGCCGCTGCTCGTACTGCATCATGACGAACTCCTCGACGGGGTTGCGCGACTTCGGCTTCGCCCAGTCGATCTCAGGGAGGGTCGTGATCGTATACGGGAGCCGACGCCGATGGGTTTCCACGTTGCGCTGCGCGCTCGCCTCGAACACCGCGCGCTCGATCGACCCCGCCTCGGAGGATTCCACGACGAAGTGGCGATCCGGCAGAAGCGTCGTCGCGATCGCGGGGAGGGCGACCCCGGTTTTGCGCACCGTAGTGGCGTTTCCGAGCAAACTCACCGGCGCGTTGCCCTTCGCGGGCAAGAGGCTGTGGACGTCCGAACCGACATGGAGGGTGAGGGAGAGATCACTCCATCGCACGACGCGGGCGTTGCTTAAGTAGAGCCCCTGCCCGGTGTGGTGACCCCATCGAAGGATGTTTGAAGGGGTGTAGAGCATGCGAGAGTTGCTCTCTAAATGCGGGCAGTGAGAAGGGAGAAAGGGTTGGGGGTCGGCGTGCAGAATCTGCCGATTCGGAGCCATTTTGGGCATCTCTAACAGCCAGGTTTGATCGGCATCTGCCAACGGCGGCACCTCTGGGACGGACGCATAGAGAAGATGAAATCCTTCCGGTTTTTCTTGAGTCAGAACCTGCGCGCCATGCTCCCCAAACAACTCTACTTGGGCGTCAAAGATGTGGAGATCCTTGTTTTGCTGCATCGTCTCCCGGAGGAGGTCCTCGGGATTTTGAAAAATGATATCCTCTTCATTCACACAAGGACCAAACATACTCTTTAGAATTCCGCGCGTGTCCACCAGCAAAGGATTCGGCGCCGGGCCGTCCGACTTATCAATTTCAAAAAAAGCACCAAAAAGATCCCCCATCGTCACCTCCGGCGCGGATCCCTCAGGGGAGGGAAACCCGGCCGCCTTTTCAATCCCATTGCCTTGAGAAAGGAACGCCTTCTCTACGCTTTCCTCAGCACCTTCGTGGAATGAATTTTCGTGCATATCGAACTTCAATCCCGATGGGAATGTCCCTTTCTCATCCTCTTGATTTTCTATAAAGCCACTACGGAGTACATGGTCGAGGCTAACGGCAACAGACGATGATTGCTCCCCATCAAGGGGCTGCTGCAAAGCTGTTGGTGCTAGGGTAGAGTCCACATCTAGGTTAGAATTCATTAGCTAAAGATTCCCCCCCCCCCTTCCTACAATAACTAATAAACGGTTTAATTCTTGGAGTATAATTCTTTTGTAATAACAAACTCTTCTGACTCAATATATTTAGCTTTTCCCCAAAGACGCATACCTATCAAAAATAGGGTATGCGGTACAACAAGGTGCCTTCAAAAAGTTCTAAAAGGCTAATGTTTATTGTATAATAAAAAACAACATTATGAAAAGAGGAAATAAATAAAGAATACATACCAAAACAAAGAAAGAGAACATCAAAATACGAAAAAACTGAGGATTTTTTACACAATATATTTCCTTCAGTGGTTGTTTGTTGCTTACTCGATGGTTAGCTACAACGACATGGGATGCGCTTACTTATGCAATTTCATTAGTGCTTCCTTAGATACAATACGGCTATGGGGTAATAGCCTTAGCAGCTTCCAGACGTTTTATTTAGTTGTGGAGATCTTGATTTCGAATCTGCGCCCGAAGCTTAACGCGCATCCTCTTATGAATCCATTTCTTGGATAATGCATCTTGGACAGCTTCACCGTGCTCCATCATTTTTGATTTTCGCTTCATCTGTTTTCTAGTGAGTTGCTTTTTATTCTTGCGCGCTGGAGCTTCGACAACGATGCCACCGATAAGCTGCTTTGTTGCCAAACGAGATTCGCTTACCCCCAAGGAGCCTTTAGGATTCTGCGCACCAATAGACCCATTCCCCCCCTCGCTTTGACTGTTATGAAAAGAGGCATGCTGTTGGTTTACCCTGTCGATTTCAACATCGACTTCCCTTTCGAACTGTGTGTCTTGTTCGCGTTTCTCATTTTCGACTTGTCGCTGAACCCGCTCGATCTTTCTTTTTTGAACGGTCTTGCGATGGGAACGTTTTTTCTCCATTTGCTTCAATTTCTTTACTAGCTTAGTCATTTTCTACACCTTTGTACAGATATTTTCCACGCTTTGACTAAAACACTTACCAACCTACTGTGATCTAGAAAGAAGTAGAACCCACAATAGCGATCACACACGCATCGCATCAAAGAACAAGGGAAGCTAGGAAAGGCTTCACCAGTGCATCAGACGTTTTTGAGCAAAAAAGTGATCAGCAATCACTTAAGAGAAATAAAGCTTTATAGAGAGAGAGAGAAAATGCTTTGTCGGAGGGTTTCCTATCTATTTTGCTTTCTCCCTTCCCTAACCTACCTATTGATGTCCGATTGTGTATCTTTTTTATATCACACCACGTCCCATTGATTTGGTTTTAAGCCACTTATTGTATAAGTAGGCACTGAGATTTTCACCCCCGGATCGCAAACCGGCTTCTTTATTGGTGGGCATCTGAATCAGCTGATCCGGCGCGTGCCAGACCGGATTCTTTTCTTTCGACGAGACCATTCGCGCCGGAGGAGGTTTCTCAGACCCCTCCCCGCGCTCACCGAAGCTGGTGGATTCGCGAGCAAACAAAATCCCATCGTCGTTGGCGAACTCCAAACGCGCAAGGTCTACCGCACCCCTCAGGGCATATAAATCACTCGTCGCTGACGACGCAAGGGCTTGGGAGAAGATACCCGGAAAATTCGGAATCACCCTCGATGCCTCGACCACGTGATCGGCAAAGTTATTCAGCAATTCGTTCAATCCCACGAGTGAGGGCGCCGCTCGGTTCGGTGGCGAATCCGGCGCCCACGCCCCTGTCGAGGCCGCTTCTTCAGTGGCGAATCGGCTACTCATATCGCGTTTCACGTCCTGAACGGTTCGTATGATCATCTCCTCTACGGAAAAGCGGGAGGGGGGAGGAGGGGTTGGCAAAAGGGCAGAGGGAAGGGTTTCGATCGCGATGCCGCCTCCTCCCTTCCCCTCCCCCCCTACCCGCCGTCGCCTCTCGCCGAGGGAGGCTCGCCTGGCCGAAAGGGGATCGGGCGGGAGGCGATCGAGGGAGCCCCCC